TAATCAGTAAACACAGCTTATCCTAGAGACGTCTGTAATCTGCCCTGTATTATATACATGCATTATATATATTGCAACGAAAAAAACTGACGGTTAAATTCAGTTGCGCAACATTTCAGAATGACTATGAATATTTCTTACGATCCTGGAATTACGTAACGTCTCTGCATGTCAATGTGAAACTAGACAAACAATTGTTCCCTTGCCGAGTGAGACATTGAGAAACAAAGTTCCTTGTATGAAATGATGATTTGGAAAAAAGAAAAAAGAAAGAAAAGTAAACTAAAAATGCCCGCGCGTCCTTTCAAAGAGAGCCGTAATGCATGGGCGCATAATTATTCAGATTTGGGTAATGGTGAATCAGGATCAAGGGAAAGGTATAAAAAGTCGATTAGTAATTCGTCGGCGACCGTTAAAGGTTGCGCCAAAGTGCATCCTCCGTGTATTCCGAAATGTTGCGGGACCTGCCTTACCGGCCCTACAGGATATGCTAATCGGGACCCATAAGACCCCAAAGGGCCCGTGACAACCCTTACCCAGCCTGCCTCCCTCTCACTCACGTCTCCCCTTCACCTATCTACTTTTAACCTCTTCTCTCTCCTTTCCTCTACTTGCAACAACCTTCTGGGCCATTTAAATTTTAAATCCTCATTGGAAAACCATCGACCATTGTCGCCACTGTGCTTCCCTTTTTACTGTCTTACAAGACATTTTACATTTGGGTCCTAAATCACCGCAGCAGCCGTATTGGGTCACTTTTTGCGGAAATAACCGTTGCTCCGACTTACTATGAAAAATTTTATATGAATAATTAATAAAAATCGAAAAAAAAAATTGTAAAAGACGTAAGAAAAAACATATTCGACCTTCGAGAACGTTATTCGATACCTCCCACTGTTGTAATTTGCAATAATGACCGGTATTACCAAAGTCAAAAAGTCACGGATAAAAAAATTTTTCAATTTTCAAACTAGTCAGTCACCGTCTATCCATCAAGTTACAATGCCAAATCCACATAGTTTGCAATTAGAATAGTGGACAGACCGAAAGCCATAAATAATTATTAACAAAAAGCAAAAAAATCAAAATCTTCAAGCATCAAGCAAGCTCAGCATCCCATTTGGTCCATATTAAAATGTGCATAGGCAAAAAAAGTTCCCATATAAAATTCACAGTACTACCAGATCCAAAACGCAAGCGAAAGGTCGACAATGATTTTAGCATGTAGTATAAAGAACCAAGGGAGGGTTCGTGAAAACATTTTTTTTTTTTTTCAAATTGGCAAACAATCCTCCGGCTGTTACGAGATCAGCGAAACTGAAGAATCGAGTTAGACGCGAAGACTGGTTTTCCAGACTATAGCCAGACATTCGCATGTCCCATAGACTCTCGCGCATAGCTCCATTATACGAGTAGGAATGGCATTAATAGGGTTAAAAGCAGAGCACGTAGTTTAACGGGGTATAACATAGAGGAATATTACAAGGGATGCCGAAGAGTGTATAAAACTTTTCTTCCCCACGTTCTTCCCTGTCATTTCGAGTATCGTCGAAAGGGGGTCGGGAAGGACAAAATCGGTGGTCAGTGCCGACGCCACGCGTCGCTACGTCGGTTCCTGATAATTCGGAAGTTCCTTATAAATAATTAAGAGCCTCGTGCCAGATGCTTCGCAGGGGGTAAAGAAAGGGAGTCCCCCCCCCACATCCACTAGCTCGTGGCCGTTCGTACCCCTCTCGCCAACAAGAAGCCTGAGGAGAAATGCATAAGTATTGAATACAATGGGGGTGGGTTCTCAAAACTCGTAAGCTTAGACCATACCGCGTGTCCAGGATGACGTAGACAGCCGGTCACGAGCAGACTATTAAAATCGCCTGAATTATCAACATGAATCGGATGACGATCCGTTATAGGAGGCGTAAATATGAATTACCAGTTGGAAAGTCTTAAAAAAAAAAAATTTTTTTTAACCAAAAATTCATATCGAATTTGTAATATCTGATTAAATTGTTTTTTTTTTTTGAATTTGTACTATCTGATTTTTTTTTTTCTATAGAAATAATAATTAGGCATACGGGTCAAGATCTGGAACCAGTTTCCGTCATCGAAGTCAACCGTCCAAGGAAACGAGTGAAACTGAAGGAACAATGGCGTAGAATATCGGGTTACCTAAGACTGCGTTAGATTGCGTTAGGTGCATCGTAAGGGCTGCGGGGCGAGTTGGTAATACGGGCAACGTACTTCCGGGGCAACGGACGAGAACGACCGACGACATGTGGTAGTAGCTGAGAGACGGAAAAAGATAAAGAGAGAACGGGCGTCTCGGCTCACTTGATTTCTC